CCAAAACGAACAAAAGACAATGATTTCATAAATCTAATCCTAACTAAGTTCCGATGTCACATTTCCTATTAGAGCACATCCAATAATAAGGTCTAAGCCTCATCATCAACATCCTCATGTTGATGATCACCTACGACACAATAAGACACACATAGAACAACAGGGGAGTGAGAAACACCTCACTCAAGTTCAGGTGTAAAAATAACAGTTAGACAACACACACAAATCATAATAAGTACAGTCATAGCTACACATTAACCAGGTGCAAATTTAAGTTACACATACAATAGTAACACATACACAATCATTCATCATGTAATGATGTCATTGACTGACTCATAAATGTAAGCATGTGGCTCCATTCACATATCACATATCACTGGTGTGCTGCCTAAACAACATACCTAAGGTAGTCTAAGAGTACATGTAGGGAGCTAACCATATACTCTCAACTAGAAGGATGTACTGCTAGGGTCTGGTCAGGATAACGAAGTTGCGCAAGTTACGTCTCATGCTCACAAATGGGCGAAATCGAGACATCCAAATCGCACTATCCCCTAGGACTCCCCCAAGCTATCCGGTGTACTCCACATTGTACCCGTCACATAGATGCATATGATGCATGTTATACATTCGCACTTCATTGACTCATCATTTGACTTGTCACAGATTCTCGTATCCTATATCACGTTATCTCATACTATCACTGGTACAAAGGGGGTAATTTACGTCGGTTATTTTAAGATTTTTACGTTAGAAAAGGGTCCGACATTAATGCGGGAGACGTAAATTTACGTTGTCTATCACAATCGACGTAAATTTATGTCAAACATTCCCTAAAATTGACGTAAAAAAAGGGTGTAAAACAAAAAAACACTAAAATATTTACGTCAGACATTCCCTAAAGCTGACGTAAAAAAAGGGTGTAAAACAAAAAAACACTAAAATATTTACGTCGGACAATGCCATGTTCGACATAAATTTATGTCGGACTATGCCATGTCTGACGTGAATTTATGCATTTTTTTTATAAAAAATTTTATTATTTTTTGATACACCCAAAACCTGCATACAGTCCAAAATACAAAACCTGACCCAGGCAGTCCAGAATACAAATTCAAATATAATTTATATTTCAAAATTGAATGACAAAAAGAAAATAATGTATAAATCTTAAAAAGCATAAATTAAGACAATGTAAATCCTATTATCCTAAAAAAAGTTATAGAACATATGTTTGTCAATGCTATCAAACTAGAAACATAATATCCAACTAAATAAACTTAGAAATCTAACTATTATATACTTTGAAGAAAAAAAGTTGCCCATTGTTCTCTTATCTTGATGATTTCATCTTCGGGCAATGGAGATGGATCTTGAAAGACTTGAAACATTAAGTTAAGTGTCATTAATATGCAATGTTAATTATCATAAAGATAAATATACTTAAATAAATTTTGATATGAATTACTTGCCCCCAAGAATCAGTAATACCCACAAAAATTACGGCTCTCATCCAATACATGATGTAATAGCCGTTCCAGATGAACAATTAACAAACAATAACTTCAAGTAGAACGATATGTTCTGGTTGCAGAATGGGCCGTTCTAGATGAACAATTAACGCAAAAGCTAATATGCAAGTCAGGATTTTTGAAACTAACCTCAAACGTGCAGACCCAATGCAAAACTGAGGTGCAGAAGAGAACTAAGGTGTGCAGAAGACTCATATTACTCTTTGTAGAAACTCAGAATGAAAATAAGTTGCTGTCAAATGAACTAACGCGCGCGGGAAGAGAATGAAAAGGTCATGATATAAATAATATTTTACGTTGGATTAGGTATGATCCGACGTAAATTATACAATCCACGTCGGACGTATATTGTGTCTGACATAGATTGTATAATTTATGTCAGACCATACCTAGTCCGACGTAAAATAGTCCACTGTTAATTACAAAAATGCCACCGCATCTTTTTTACGTCGTATTTTGGTATGTCTGACGTAAAAGAGGTGACGTAATAGCCTTATTTTCCACTAGTGTATCATGTCACAGGTCACATGTTCACTTTTCATATTTTCACATCACATTTATATAGTCTCGTACAAGGAACTTCTCATAGTCATATATATCAGAATAGCACATAAACCATACCAGGAAATTATACAACATCATACACATTTAATTCGCAATTCATAACATACGAAACATAAAGGTCATAAACCCAACTTCATGATTTCACGCATTTTTTTCACAACTAGCCAGTTAATATAATATTTCAATCGATCAAAACACTCCAAATATTACCCAAAACACGAATCTATCATCAATTTTACATATAATGCCTCAAAATTCATCCAAAGATCATATCCCTAATTTCACTTCATAGCACTACAACAAAATTTATTATTACCGACAATTATTTAACGGTAATAAATTAATTACCTTTATTTTATTATTTAATAAAAATATTAATGACTAATATATAATGGTTACTAAAAATGTATTTACATCATACCAAAATTTACTATTAGCGACAATTATTTATTGGAAAAACTTAAGTCTCACATCGACTAGAAATAAAATAATTAAAAAGTATATAAATAAATGATAAAATAATTAATTAGGAGATAAGATAATTTAAAAAAAAATTTAAAAATTAAAAATAATATATAAGTAGAAGACAACCCTTATCTTACAAGTCCTACATCGATGAGAGATAAATTAATTAAAAAATAAGAAAATTAAAAAGAATATATAAGTAAAAGATAACCCTCATCTTACAAGTCCCACATCGACTAGAGATAAGGTAATTAAAGAGTATTTGTACTCATCTTACAAGTCCCACATCGACTAGAAAGTAAAAAATGCCACAAAAAATTATACATTTTTTTTTATCATTATAAGGATTTTTACCAGCATTCAGAATAATTACCGCTAAATGTTTTAGCGACACTGCATACAATGACTAATGTGAAAATGCTGATAAAAGATTTTGTAGCAATTTTTATTGCTACTAAAAGTCATATTAAATGCCACTAAAAGTCTTTTTTATTGTAGTGATAGGGTTTTCCACAGGAACCTATTGAGCACTCTAATTCATATCAAAACTTATCTATTTTTGAAATTAATCAAATATTCACATTCAGCAACCATCAAGGAACACAACACAAAATTCAAACACGAAAACAGAAAACATTTGAAAAGTGTTTGTTTTTAAGAGCATGCATTAGGCAAGTGATTGAGGCCAATCCCACTACCAAATATATCAATTATTGAAATTGAACACATATACACACTCAAAATCACACAAGAAATGCAATAGAACAATCAAAAAACAAAACAGAAAACTTTCATAAAGTGTCTGTTCTTATAGGCATACATCAAGCAAGGGATTGAGGGCCAATTTTGCTACCCAACAGTTATTTCCACACCCCCAAGTGAGGTCTCTCACTCCTCCCTTATCTTGATGAGTAGACGAACATGCATGAGTAGAACTCGATTGGTTCTCTTCTTCTTCAGGTTCCTCTTGTTCTTCAGAAGCATAAGAAGGAATGAAGTCAAGAGAGTGGTTATGTAAAAATGACTTAACTCTTGATAACTTCCTTAACCCCTCTCCTCATTTAATAAAATAATTAATAATAACATAAATTAGCAAAAGACTACTACGTCCTCTCTTCCCTTAAAATAAACATAAATATAATTAAAATACAACTTTTCCCTTTTAATCAAATATCATAAGCATCATTAAATAAAATACACTTCATAAAATTATCATAATACTAACTCTAACACGAGTACAAAACTTCGTCCCGTAGCGGTCACAACAACCAGCTCCAACCTAACCCTAACCTGCTCCCATACACAGTATGATCATCGCAGTCCATCAACATGGAAACAAAATGATAAGCTAGAGTTCAAAAAGCAACCATACAATAACAAAATAAAATCTATACTACACATTCATCCAATCAAGTCCCAAAGGGACTCCCATCTCAATCAATCATCAATTCATCAAACATGAAGTCAACACCACACACTTCATCATACTAGAAATCATGCAATAATAACAACTCATGACAAATAACAATGCATATCAATCATCTAATGTGTCGTCATGCATACACCTAGGAGATCTCCCTAATAGCAGAGCAGTATAAGTGAAATCCCAATCCTACCAAAACCACCCTAACCGTTTTTACGCCCAATGCACCCGCTCGGTCATAGCTAAACAGATATAAATCCTCACTTGGGCTTACTCAGATGATGTCACTTACACACTTGAAAGTCCGGTTCCACCGTCAGGTATAACACAGCTAGGTACAGGCTTATCATGACCTTGACATGCATTACCAAGTCACTTGTGGAGTTCACTCACCGACTATCCACAAGGAATCACACACCTTCCTCAGTACTTGGTTAATGGAATAACCCTCGACCTCATAACCCGCTCCAACACTAGCTAAGGACTTAAAGGAGACTCACCCAAACCAGTGGCTTATCCAAGCACCACTCTCACCCAAAACAAGTGGCCTATTTAAGCACCATTCTCAAGAGACTCTATGTGAGATCTTCCAGTTCGAAAACATTTTCCCTTTCCTCAAGTCTTAGGCTAGACACATGCCAAAAGGCATCACATGCCAAAAGGCATCACATGCAATAATGCATCATACATCATACATGACCAATCCACCATCATGATCAATATCATCTTCATATGAACATACACACATGTCATATCATTTTTAAACATTCATATATATCATTACCAAAGCATACATATGAATCATACATCACCATACATCATATATCATACATACATGATCAAATCTTCAACTTTAAACATGCATAAGCATCATTTTCAATCAATATTTCTAAACATACTCATGCTCGGCGCAGCCAGCTCGCGCCCAACCTAACATCCAATCCGAGAGCTCTAATGCTCATCCACGCCCAGCGCAACCAACGAGCGTTTAGCCTAAACTCAACCAGAGAGTTCTAAAACTCATCCACGCCTGGCGTAGAATCCCCACGCTCGACATCATTGAGACAGAGACTCATAGGAGTCTCCACACCCAGCGCACTTACCATATGCTCGGCGTCGTCTAGACAAAGACCTCCAGGGGTCTCCACGCCCGGTGCACTTACCCTGCCCTGGAGCCATATCAGCAAAACACCATCTAAGCCACTATCTGATATTGCACCTGACGTGGTTCTCCTCACGCCCGACGTGAACTCATCCAAAGACTCCCATTTACAATCGCTCCTAGCACAGCCAACGAGTGCCTGACGTGATCAAGAAATGGTTGCCCCTGATGAATGCATGCCTGGCGTTAAGAACATGCGCTCGACGTAAATTCATACAGCAGCCTCCAAAACTTCAAAATTTTCCATCAAAACCTAAAAATCAGCAAATCCAACCACATGAAATCCATGAAATATAACACATAGGCTTAATACAACTTGAAAACAAACTCAGATTCAAAATGCACCCATTCGATGCATCAAAATCACCAAAAACCCCATTTTTCCCAAAACCCCGAAAAATGAGAAATCCATCCATTCAACCACTTATTCTCAAAATTCATGCACCAATTGAGTTTCTAAACTCACATGCAACCAATCAACCTACATTCTAGCTTCCCTTACCTGAAATTTTGGCTCAGAATAGCTAAGAACTTGAGAAGAAGAAGAAGAAATTCCTCCGAAGCTCGACCCGCAGACTTCAATCCTCCAAAAACAAGCTTCCTAGCCTGAATTCCAAGAAAAGACAGAAGGAATTAGTGATTTAGAGAAGAAAAAGAATCAAAATGAGAAATTTGGGAGAGAAAGGAACTCATAGACCCAGAGTCCTTCTCTCTAAAACTTCTCTCTAGATTTTCTTTGAGACTGAGCTTATGAGACTCTATTATCAGAGAAAGTCTTATATAATCTTCTCTCTAGCACCCACTAAACCCCGTACCAACTTACTACGTTACACATATGAACCAATTTTGTGCGATATCATAATAAAATCTTCATTATCAAATGTTCGGTGTGGAAAATAATATTATTACTAACATATACATTGTCATAATAGGGACAAAAAGATATTAAACTCTTTATTATATACATTAATTTATAAATGTTATATAATCAACTTTTTTTGTTCTTATAAAATAAAGATAATAAGAATTTTAAAATATACATTAAAACATTAACTTAATAAAAATAATTTATTTTTAATATATTCATTATTATGTAAAATATATGTTAAATAAAATACCAAGCATTGCACGGGTAACATAATTAATGTAGAAGTCAAAACAAATAGTGATAAATGTAATTTAACAAAACAAAATAATTCTGTAACATCCCAAATTTTATACAATATTAATAATAATAAAAAAGGTTCTTTTTATTTTATGTATTTTAAATATTCGTAGTCTGCCAAAATCCATTGCTAAGCTCCAAAACTTGGAGACCTTGGATATCGACGGAGCGCTAGTGTTTGTGATGCCAAAAGAGATTACAAGGCTTAGAAAACTTGGTCATCTTCGGATTAGCCGAATATCTTCCTTTGAAGCAGTAAAGGAAAGTCTTGGAGGCCTAACATCCCTCGAACAGATACGTACAATGAGAATAGATTCTGATGGAGTTGTTATTGCAGAGCTAGGAAAGCTAAAGAAATTAAGGGATTTGAGCTTAACTCATTTTAGGAGAAAATACAGACTCACTCTGTGTTGTTCGATAAATGAGATGCACTTCTTGGAGAAACTACGTATCGGAGCAAGGGATACCAATGAAGTGATTGACTTGTCCGATGTATCGCTCCATCCCACACTTAAGAAGCTTTGCTTGAGTGGGAAGTTAGAGAAGTTTCCAAATTGGATTCCAAAGCTCCAAAATCTTGTGAAATTGTCCTTGGAATTGTCCTTTTTAACTAGTGATCCGTTGAAATCACTAAAAGATATGCCAAATTTGTTATGCCTATATATTAGCCACCATGCTTATGAAGGTGAAAGTTTGCATTTTGAGGATGGAGGGTTTCAGAAACTAAAGGAACTGCGGCTTCAAAATTTGCAACATTTGAATTTCATCAGTATCCATAGAGAAGCACTTCTTTGTTTGGAAAGGCTTGAGTTAAGCGAATTACCCAAACTCAAGGAAGTACCTTCTGGCATTCTGCAGTTGGAGAAACTTGGAGTTGTCCATATATTCAACCTGCCAATTCATATTATGGGATTTTTTAATTATGGAAATCCAAAGCGCTGGATCATATCCAGAGCAAACCCATATAGAATGTTTTAAAATTCTCTGCAAAATTGCCAAGATATGGAATCAACATAAAGCGTCCAACCTTGCAAATAAATGGTATGTTTGCTTCTTATTAATAACTGTAGAATGATATTTTTGGCTTTATTAGTTCCTAAAATTATTTCTTTACTTTTGCCTCCCTTTTTCTTGATTTTCTTCTAGTGTATGCTTTATTGTTCTTTGTCTACATCAATCATACAAATTAGGGATAAAATCCTCTAATAAGTATTAAGATATTATATGGTGTTGGTACGTGCAAGACTTCAACAACCATTAGTTGCCGTTGTTTGTTAAAAATAGCCTGTTCATTGTAATACTTCTGGCCACTCCAGACTTATATAAATAGGCCACATGCATGCAGTTGAGGAGAAGAGAAAAATGGAACTTAGAGAGAGGTTTTAGAGAGAAAATTTAGAGAGAAGGACTCTGGGTCTGTGAGCTCCTTTCTCTCTCGAATTTCTCTATATGATTCTTCTTTTCCTCTAGATTGCTAATCTCTTCTGTCTTCTCTTGGAATTCAGGCTAGGAAGCTTGCTTTTAGAAGATTGAAGTTCCGGGTTGAGCTTCGGAAGGAAATTCTACTTCTTCTCTGTTCTTGGCTATTTTGAGTCAATTTTCAGGTGAGGGAAGCTAGAATGTTTGTTGTTTAGTTGCATGTGAATTTAGTGACTCAATTGATGCATGAAAGTTGAGGATCCATGGCTAGATCGGATTCCCTTAAAAAAAAACAAAATAATTGGGTTCTAATTATGTATGTAAAATCAATTAATAGTCACATGAGTCATAATTCTTATCATAGTAATTTGAATAAAAATTAATATATGAAAAAAATATAGAAAAAAAATTATGTAATACGTTAAAAATATGAATTACATTAACTCGAGATTTTAATAATGTTGAAAATATTAAAACTGATTATTGGAGAAGTAAAAAAAAACTATGAAAATGTAATATAACAAAATAAAGTGTGACTCAAGTGAAAATACTTGATAATATAAAAATAAAAATAATTAATAACAATTTTAATATTAAAATAAGTGGTTAAAATAAAAAAAAAATACAAATAAAATATCATATACCATCGGCATCATAATTTTTTTCTATTATTGTTATCATTATTGTAACAACCCACTATGTTTTTTACACTAAATATTACAATTACTAGTGATGAAAATTTAACAATATCTTAGAATTGTAAGTATACTAACACCTGAAAATGTGTCATATATCATGCATATAATAATAAATCATCTCAACAAATGTGTATATACAATATAGATTTAGTAATTCAGCTAATAATAAACTATACAACCTAAGTTGTTGGTCAAACAATTTCGCAATATATACAAAACTACCCTAAAAGGTGGTTTTCAAAATATACCTACACCATTGAATGGCTTCGATTGCATAACTCCAACCTATTTTTGTCATACTCTCATATCATGTATGATCATCACAGTTTAAATCACATAAAAACAACTTTAAATGCATCATGACATCATCATCTTTGACACTGACAACACAAGACATCATAGTATAACAACATATATGAACATAATAACTCAGTTTTCAACACGCCCACACAAACAATCCATTTTACCACAACATAATTTGAACTCAACATCACAACATTCTCAATACAGATTAATCATCACAACAACATAACATTTTCAGCACAACAACTACATGCATATTGTCATACATTTCAACTAGAAGATCTCCTACAACACAAGGTGAGTAGTTTAAGTGGCTTGACCTTACCAAACTTACGGCACAGGGTGATCTTTTTGAACTTGCTAGATCAATAACAAATTAGAATAAATTTACAACACAACTCGATTTCTCAAATGTCGTCACTTACACAAGGAAGTCTAGTATTATTATTGTAAGGGTAGAACAACCACTACAAGAAAAATACAAAATAGCGACCGAATTTAGCGACTTAGTATTTTAATAATAAATATTTATGAGAATTATTTTTGGATAATATTTTGATTTTTAGTAGCCCAGAACAGGTCGTTCTCAAACTGGAACAGGTCGTTCTGGACTACTAAAATGGCCTATAAAGACTAGACTGGAATGGGTCGTTCCAACACATGATTCTATGAGTAAAATGCGAAGCCAGAACGGGCCGTTCTGATTTGGGAACAGGTTGTTCCAGATATGGTCGTTGTAGGTAAAATGTGATTTCAGAACGGGCCGTTCTAGTTTTGGAACAGGCCATTCTGAATGTGAAATTTACGCATGACGAGTGAGTCCAGAACGAGCAGTTCCGAATTTAAAACGGGTCATTCTAGCGACTCTTGATGCTTATAAATAGCATGCTCTGGCACTCCCGAAAGGACTTTTTTTTTCACTTCTGATATCTTTTTTTTCTACACTCTCTGAAGACCAAGTGTGACACCTTACTGCCCTAACACATATATATTGTAATAATGTAAATAAACTAAAGAATAAAATTTTCAACGTTGGTAAAAGGGTTCACACAAAACCTTCATAATTGTTCTTCAATAACTAAAATAATTGAAAATAAAACTTGGAAAGTAAAACTTAAGAGTTTACAAATTATTTTCAAAAGAAAAGGTACAACTCCAAATACATAAAAATTCATATCCTAGAATTCTCTGCCTCAATGTCACAATATCATAGCACACCCACAATTCAATTGTTGGCATTTTAGATGCCACTCAAAGCTGGGTCTTCCTCACCTAAAACATCCACAAATTGTACGATGAGAAAAGAAAACATCTATATGTAAAGTACACAAGGAAAATCCAACACATCATTTCATCATAGGTCATTACTTTACAACCATCTCTATATATTCTAATTCTAACAATCATGCATCAACTACACATCACAAAATTCACAATCATATCAATCCATTACAATTCTTGCAATTAACACTATCATTTTCACATTCATAATCCACACAAATCTTACAATTAACACTATGCCAAGGCCACGCCACAACTAACATAAGTGATACGGGTTAATTGCCTCACTCATCCCACACTATGCCAAGGGAACGCCGTTCTTGTAGCATCACTTACCCAAGGGTCATCTCATCCCTGGTCATATGTGTGAGGAACCACAATCACATTCATAATCCACACGAATCTTACAATTAACCCTATGCCAAGGCCACGCCATATCTAACATAAGTGATACATGTTAATTGTCTCACTCATCCCACACTATGCCAGGGGCACGCCATCCCTGTAGCACCACTTACCCAAGGGTCGTCTCATTCCTGGTCATATGTGTGAGGAACCACAATCATATCACATCAACATCTCATTTCATGTCAACATACTCACGTCATGTTATCAATTCAATATTAAAATAGTAGATATAATGTATACATTTGTACGAAGGCAGCACACCACATTCCATATCTAGATCATCAATTTTATCAAATAATGTAACAATAATATTTATAAATTAATATAAAACCTAATAGAATCATCAATTTAGTAGAATTATATGAAGCTCCATATTTGCTTTGTGCAAGCCTCAAAATTACACAAGAAAAAAATGCTTCTAGCTGTAATTTGAGTTCTGTGCGAAGATGATGATACAAATTTAGAACAATGCTAGATACCATTGAAAGTACAAGAGGACTCATTGACAAACCAAATTGCATAAGATTGCGGAATAATTCATCCTGAATTAAGCTCAGCAATCTATGGTGTCGGTGAAAGGAAGCCCCTCCCAACTCTATGGCTGAATTAATCAAAGTTAAGGCAAAAAGAGGCACGTCTTCATCAAATGCTATTGTGTTTGATCGAGGACTCACTCCCATGTGTTCAACAACATTCAACAAAGAACACAAAAAGTGAAATATTTCCACCATGCAGGGAATCCCATATGGTTCCTTCATAAGCTGCAATTCACTCGGATCAGTCCCCTTGCCATTGCTAGCAATAGCTGTGTCTTCATCCACTACAGTCCCTGCCACATCACTCACAGTACTAGAAGCAATTCCTGTGGATAAGGGTTGACCATCACTTGCAGAATTCAAACTCCCATTCTCCAATTGTCTGTTTGCAGAATTATGCTCGTTACTTAGCCCACCAGTCTGTTGAAAATTCAATAAAAAAACTATCAGCAAGTAAATTTACAAGTTTATGCATGTCCTCACTCACATTTAGCATCAGAAAAATTGTTTATTGCAGTTTGATAATGCAGATATTTTTGCAGCATTAATTGTAAAAGATATCAGTATTTGTGATGATGATACATGAGGACAATCTCTCTAACCCTAAATAGTAACAATGCATAAACAGACTAACAATCATTCTCTTCTTTCTATCTTTTACCCTTTTACTAGAGGTGCAACAAGGTGATGCAAGACAACAAGGGATCAGCTATTATTATTTTATTTTTTTAATCATTTTCATGTGATTTTACTAGAGATTATATTCAGGGATTTTATTGATGAATTTCAGTAGTTTTGGAGTAATTCTGAGAAAGTCAAAGTCCTACAACGGTATGGAGGGATGACACTACCTCATAGGTGAGGAAGGCTTTGGCCTCCTAGTTATAACTTGTTAAATACTCCAACTAAAAAACATGCAGGTGTACATTAGTAAATCTCATATGTGTGTGTATAATTTTTTATTTGCATGAAATTTTGTAAACTTAATCTAGTTTATAAGAACTTTCAAATCTAGTTTATAAGAACTTTCAATTCAATGATTGAATTTGTTAATTCCTTATTTTATAGAAAGTTATTAAGTGATATAAGTGTAAAAAATTGACATCAGGTGTCAATTAATCCTCTTTCTCACACACACATCAATACTTTACGCTATCTTTGCCCAAGGTGGATTATAAAAGCTCTAGAGGATTGTTTATTTGCCGATTTAGCTTTATTACACCTATGGAAGGGCCTTTTTTAGATATTAATATCAAAAATAAATAAAGCCCTATAATAAGGTTTCCTAAATGCGATATAACATTTGCCCCAGACAAGGTGGATTAAAGAAGCTCTAGAGGATTGTTTATTTGCCCGTTTAGCTTTATTACACCAACGGAATGGCCTTTTTAGGTAATAATATATATATATATATATATATATATATATATATAAAATAAAGTTTCCTGTGCATAAAATGAGACATAACTTATATTATCACTTGTTAATAACTTAATTACTCCAAGCAGTTTTCCTTGTTTCCTGGTAAGTTCCAGAGGACACGCCTATAAGATTTCTAGGTCTTGTGCTAAATAAATAATTAGTCCCCTTCTTTATTTGACGGAAAGCAGGAAGACAGGTCTAAGGTCATTTTAGATCAAATACAAAATCCAGGTTTAATCAGCTGATCAAACACTGTATGTCATATGGTATCTAAGAGTATGTTTAGGAGTGAGGTTTCAAAGGGAAAGGGAAGGGAGGGTAAACTTATTTTTATTTTTGAATTAAGAGAAATATATAATGTTTATAAAAAAAATCAATGATTAAGACATTAATTTTATGGTAATCTATCAATTTATTTCTTTTGTTTTAAAAAAAATTATCAAATTAGAAAATATTTATTAACAATGAAAATTTTGTCCTCCCTTTCTTCCAAAACATCACTCCCAAAAATATCCTAAAACGCCAAGATTGTAATAATAAATTCATGGAAATTGGAAACTTGAAACGAGTAATAAACAGCAAAGTAAGCAGAGGGTTAATAAGCAAAGTAATTTTTACCTTTTAATCATTTCAAACAAAAAATGGTACATAAATTTGAATTGTACCCCTACCCCCAAGGTCCCAATTTTTCCTTACAATCATTTACCTCCCCAGCAACTGACAAAATCAGGAAAGAAAAATGAAATTGCAACCAAAAGGACTAAGGTAACATAAATGCTATACCTCTTGTTTTAAAGCAGTTTCCCCATTTATCAATGCAAGTTCTGTGTTGTTAATATCTTGAAGGTGAGAAAAAATACACCGAACAAGTTCATGCATTGTGTAACGTGCTATCCGCTGCAACAACTCACTTTTGGTTCCTGCTTGATGAACTATACGGAAACAAGTATTCACTATGGTGCAAATATGTTGGTTACTCAGCATCACAGATGCTTTACTTTTCACACATGCTAGAAGAACTTGTAATATCTTCATTAATACCACTTCTTCTGATCCAGGATCAGTCACCTCAAACCTGCAACTCGTGACAGCATCAACTACCAAGTGCATGGCATCCCCGACATTAACAGTGTTTTCATCAATTACATCCAATGTTAAGATCTTGTAAACAGATGATAGAGCAACACCAGTAATTGGTGCACCAGTTTCATCAGATTGAATCACATCCAGAAAAGGCTGGAGATACAATGCCGGGCTTATGACATGCCACTGATTCTGCCATGAAAAAATTTGCCTCCTTAGTGCCTTCAGAGACTGAACAAGGGAATGCTCCAATTGATCATCATCTGACATATAATGAACTCCCCATCTAACATTTCTTCTCATGACAGCCAAAACAGCACCAATTTCTGCATTGATCATGCATGCCACAGTAGTTTTGTTAGGATATCCAGCATCAAACTGCTCAGATCCCTCTTCTATTGCATTGATGCCAGTTTGTGTTTGCAACTTCACATGTCCCATTTTATCAAGCAGATCTGCCTGACATTTACCACTAGAATTCCCAAGATGAAGCACAGCCCTACAAAAAGCAATGTTGAAAGAAACAAACAATGCAAAGTGATTTATTTGAGTATCCGTATGCCAAATTGAAGCACAAGTAACATAAACATTCTAACTTCAACACGCTAGAACCCCAAAAATCCATCAAGGCAGCAGCATATAAATGGTAAATATAACTAATACATAAGCAGAGCACATAAACAACAAACATACATACAGGAACATGCACATAGGAAGATAAGAATGTTCAAAAATTTTATATGCCCCCAATAAATCCAACTTTATCATTGATCCCATAAATCTAAGATAAACTACACATAGACGTACCAATAGCCCAATACACTGCATCCACTTTCTCAGTGGCTAAAGTGTTATGCCACCCCCCCAATATTCAACCCACCTTTAACAAGCTACTACTCTCACCATCAACTATCACTCACCGATTCCTCCGCAAAAATTCAATCTCAGACAGAAAAACCCGAATTCAGTTCATATCTTAGATCTACAATCAAACATGACCCTTTCGATTGAATCAATTCCGTTGCACACTAACAAGTAACAATGATCTAATCCACTGAGCATGACCCATTCGGAACTGAGCCCAAAATTCAATATAAAGGGGTCCCAAACAGTGTGTTAAGCCTCCGATTCCGACAATGACACGAAGAAAACGAATATTGACATCGAAATTATATAAACAAATAAAAAGTAGGAATGGAATTGAAGCAGCGACGAAGAAGGGAAGAGCTTACCGAGAGCGAGATCGGGAGTGTTAGGGCATAAATCAAGCTGATGTGTTACATTGAAATCATGCCTTCAAATTGAAATCTTCCTTTCAAGTTCCTCTTTCTTTCTCTCTCTCTCAAATCTCAATTCTTCATTCAATTTTGGCACATCGCCTCTGTATTATTATCACTGCAACAACAACTGATCAGTTTATTTTCTACATGATTTAATTATTTTAAATAATGTTTTCCCTAAGGATTTTTTTTTTCCTTTCAGAAAACTTGTTTTTTGTGCAGTATTTTACCCTTTTAATTTAAGTTATCAGTATATTGTTTAGGTACTAAGTACTAGTGTTTCAGATGAGAAAAAATTGCAATGCTGTTAACTTTTTAAACACTTTCTTTTTCTTAAAATTTTGTTTCTACTTCAACTTTTTATCACATTATTGTTGGAGTAAAAAGAATTTGAATTCTTTATACGTAGTTTGAATTTAATTTATACTGTAAACCAATGGACCTATAAAAAACGACTTCTAAAATTATTAGATTTAAATTTTTATATAAAGTTTAGGTTTTTTATTTAATCAATGAGAGTTAAACTTGTATAAAGAAATTGGCTTAAATATGTTCAAACTACCTCGAATTATCACCTTCAAGCACAACAATTTCATCGCTTGGACTTGTCGAGGTTGCCGTGGAGGTCCCGGATGGCCACCAAACGGGGCGGCGGGTGGCAAGGGGAGGCAGGACGACGAGGGGAGGCCGGTTCGTAACGCGAAACAATTTTTTTAAAAAAAATTCAAGTCTGATGTGGTAAATTACGTGAAGAATGAGGTAGACATATGTGCTGATATGGCATACACTGTTGGGTAATGACGTGGCAGCCCATTAGCCACGTCGTCATTTAACAAACGGGGACTAACGTCAGGTACTAAATTAAAAAAAAAAATTAGTTAGGTAATTTAAACAAAAAAAAATCAATAAGTAGTAATCCGAAAACCGACCTAATTCAAGATAGTTTAAACATATTTAAGTCAAAGAAATTTGCAACAATTCATACACTAATACGGTAATATGAAATAGACATCTTTGATATATAGTTTCAAGTTTAATTTATAGCGATTGTAAAAAAAACTAGTTTAATTTACAGTGTAAACTCTTCCATTAATAAAATATTATGTTACATTTTTAAAATAGTTATTATAAATATTAATAAATTTATTAATATAATATTATTTATAATTAATATTACATTTTGATGTACAATAATCACAATGTAACCTAAAAACTCATATTATTAATCCCAACATAAGATTAAAATTAATTTTGTGTTAGTTATTAATAAATTATACGGGACAAACTTGTTTTTATTTATTTATGAAACTTCATAGAAAAGTTTGGGTACATATAATGAAGTTACAAATTAGTTGATAACAATTTATGAATATAGATAAAATTTAAAAGATAAGAATTATAAATTACAAGTTGTATATAACAAACTTAATCTTAATCTAAATTTGAAATATGATAGTTTAATCTATATTCGTTAAACAATGTGATTTTAATCTGTTGACAATTAACATATCATAAAGAATTAATAAATTTCAATTTAGTTACTTCATATTATTCCCCTCAAGTTGGAGAGTGGAGGTTAATAACTTTCAACTTGGATAAAAATCATGAAACAATTCCTTATCCATTACCTTCGTTAACAAATCTGCTTGTTGTTGTTTTGTGTGCAAATAGTTTGTTATAATGGCTTGATGCTTCAGGTGATCCCAAATAAAATGACAATCAACTTCAATATATTTTGCCCATTCGTGAAAAACTAGATTTTTTGTTATATGAAGTGTTTATTGACTATCACAAAATAATTGTATCATTTGGATGAGTATAATTTCCTATGTATCATTTTCTTTGATAGTTGTTAAAGGGATATATATATTATCATGATGTTTGTGAGTTACTAGGAAATCGATTTTATTCTGATGATCTGAGATGTTGTCTTGTGGATCAAAAGTTTCTTTAAGGTTGTATGATGTTTCGAAAAACGGGTTTGAGTGGATCGTTTTAGCGACCGAAATAGCGACTGATTTTATGCGTAACTATTTTAGTTTTTTAGCGACCGAAATAGCGACCAATTTTATCTGTAGCTACATCAATTTTTTAGCGACCGATATTATCCGTAGCTACATCAATTATTTAGCGACCGAATTAGCGACAGATTCATAAAATGGTTTTATTAAATAAATGCAAAAAATAGCGACGGAAATTGCTACCAAAAAATTCGGTCGCAAAATTGGTCTCCAGAAGTTAGGAGACCAAAATTTTAGCGACGGATTTGTATTGTCTAGCGACTGATTTTTCGGTCGCTAAATTGCGACGGAAAAAATTTCGGTCGCTATTTGAAATAGCGACCAGGGTTTTAGCGACGGAATTTTTCGGTCGCTATTTCGGTCGCTGAATGAAATAGCGACTGAATTTACCTAAATAGCGACCGATTTTGGTGGTAGCTAAAACTTGATTTTTTTGTAGTGAACTGGGTATAGACCTACCACAAAATTAGCTAGCTTGATTAAGTCCCTTGTGGGATTAGCCCATCGACTATCCTCTAAATACTATGTTCTTTCAATACTCAGTGAGGAACTAAGTTCATGACTTCGTATACTTTACTTGGTTGTTCACTTGTAATCAGTATAATTCAACCTAGTCCCTATACTGTAGTCACTTCATACATGTGTGCCTCAATCCTGCCTACACATGATACCAACAAAGTCATAGAGGAGAATGGACACAACTATTTACTTCAAGGATCAACTTCTTGAGAAGAGTTTAAACACATTAGACTCTCATAGCACTACAACACAATATCCATACAATGAGATATGCAACTTAAATCTTTCCTCTAATCCTAAGTTGGTCATCACAACTCAATAATGCAACAACTTCATATATATTCAACAACAACACTAAACTTGGTATGGAGAATATAAACTGAATTTCATCTTCAAATGCGTGTTTAGTAAAGTCATGGTTTAACTGTTTTGGAACGTGAATTTGGGTCTTGATCCATGGTTTAAAAAAAAGCGAAGAAACTCGTAGTTGAATTAATTTTAACAATGAATCATTGTTAATTTTTCTTATTATGTATTAAAATTTTGTTTCTCCTAACAAATTTTCCTAATTCTTTTCGTAATTCAACTTGAATTAAATAGTCTATTTATGGATAATCAAACTCTTCATAACATATTTAACGTAATTACATGATGAAAATTTAAATTCGAGATCATTAATTAAGATAAAATAATTTTATACGTACTAATTAATTCATGAACTCGTAATTGAACAACATATTTAAATGTTATATTTGTTAAATATGATTTATTTATCTTTTTTATTATATGAAACAATTAATTAATATAGTAGAAATGCTAATAATTAATAAAAACATGAACTAAAATTTAGATTAGTTTCTAATACTAAGACTATTTTACTTGGTTTTCTCATTTAGCTTTACGAAAATGAAATTTGTTAAACCTGATTTTATACACGAGTGAATATTTTTAATTAAAAGAAAGAATCATGTTAGATTTGTTTTGTGGAGGGTGTTGTCAAGCTTGTACAAATGTTTTATTATAACTTTTGATATTTTGTCATCGATATTTTTTATTTGCATTTTTCATTCAGATCTATTAACTTAATGGTTTTACCATTATTAATTTAATTTGAAAGGAAATTTATTAATGTATAAAAGGAACATAAGTAAAATGAAGAGGAGAATCCAAAAAATGGCAAAATGTAATTAGCAAATATTACTTATTGACTAAGATTATTTTTTTTATTACAATTATGCATGAATATTAGTTCACTTTTTGAGTGATGAGTCTAGAATCTTGAAATAGTTTGATGATAGCAAATAAGCATATCATTAGAAAATACTCAAGATTGACCGCATATTATTTCACTTAACAACTTCTATCGATTGAATATTATTTTACTTAACAATCTTTTCTTGAACATTCTTGAGACGTATTATTACTTATTCTGACACTTTTGCAAGCAAGAGTCCATCACATGAGTTGGAAGACGACCACGATCATCTGACAAATCAATTATCAAAAACATGTAATATATATATATATATATAACTCAATTATAGAAAATAATTATAAAACCTTTAAAAGTATACCAATATTGATGTCAATAGACTTGATCGAGTCGCAACTAGCGATACAATTGTAGATAGCATTGAGGGAGTGTGTTTTACAATATTCTTCACAACTTTTCTCACACACCTTATATGGATACCTAGAAAATGCACAACCTAATGCACATTGGACCTTACACTTGATTGACTTAAATGAGTCTTTTTTTGACTCAACTTGCATAAGTGGAGAATTGTATTCAGCTTGTGCGAAACTCAACATAATTATGATCGTAATCGCAACTCCAATATTTTTCATATTATTCTTTACCATGACTCTTCTCTAAGTCTTTACAAACTATCCCAAAATTTTTTATAGATTCTAAATTATTGGTGTGGTATTTCGAAGGAAATAGATATCTATTTATAAACATAAAAGTATATACCTATATTGCATATATAATTAAAATCAATAAGTATAATAACTGTTATGATAATAATTTGACTAAAAATGAATAATATATATATATAGCAATTATAGAAAAAATAAACTATTTTATGTAATACTTTAAAACATCAATTGCACTAATTTAAAATTTTAATAATATTGACAATATTAAAACTAATTAACGTAAAAGTCAAAACAAATAGTGGAAAATGTAATCTAACAAAACAAATACTACTCATTTTTCTATTTATAAGATCCAATATAAAATAATATTTATTTCTTTATATAAGATTCAATTTATATTGTTTCATGTATTAATTATTTTTAGAATAAAGTATCCTTAATTAAAATTTGTTTTTTTTAATTTGATGAAATACATTAATCAATTATAAACTTTTTGAGAGAAAATAATATTAATTAGGAGAGAAAAGTGATATAGGTCATACACTCTAATTGATTAGGAAAAATATTAATTAGGAGAAAAAAAATAGTGTAAAGATAATTTTGAAAAATAATAAAAATAAGATAAATTTATTGTTTTCAACTATATTAACTACTTTTTCAAAAAAAAAATTAATATTAATGAACTATACATTTGAATCTTATATATAAAAACGGTGATAGTAATAAGGTTATAATCATATATATATAAAATGAATAGTCTCATGAATCATAACT